AATTATATTTATTTTAGTTAGTAATATTTAATATAATCGGTAGTTAATAGTTTAATTTAATATTTTTCAATTAGTATTCAGTAATAATTAGATTAACAAAATATTCAATAATCAGTAAAATTACCGAGTGATAAAAGTTGTTTAATAAGTAATTTTACCTATTATAATTTATTTGTTGATTTAAAGGCAATTGGAATTCGGATAAATAAACTAATTCAAATAGGCTGTTTTATTGACTGCCTATTTTATTCCGATTTTAGCCATTAATCGCCAGCAATAGGTAATAAATAAGATTATTAAATATACTAAAATCGGTATTTTACCAGTTTATAATAAGAATACCTATTAATATTTATTTAACTAATTATCTATAATCAGTAATTATACTGATTGAATAGTTTTTTACCTGTGTTATAATAATTATACAGACAAATTTGTCTGCAAATCTCTACCAATTAAGAAATAAGATAGAATTTAGTACAGCTTATGAATTTTCTTGCTTATTATACAATAGCAAATTTTATTGGGCAAGAAAAGAAGCAAATTTAATATTACACAATCAAGTTCTTTACAACATGAAGAGTATACAAAATATATTTCTACAAAATATGTTACAAAATTATGAATCTACAACTTTTATTTCTGCAATAAAATATTAAAAAAATTGTCAGTCAGAATCAGAAATCATTGATTACTTTTTTTTTTGATCTGCAAATTTCACATTTTTTGCAAACTGCAATAAATAATTGTATTTGTGATCGCAATTGCTAAAGCTATCTAATTTATCATGAACCTGAGTTTGTATCAGGCTCAAATTTATAAATTGACTAGCTTTAGCAATAGCTGTTGCAATCACAATAATTAAACAAAAAAAATTAACTATAGGATTTACAAAATTAGTCAAACTGCAATAAAATGTGAATGATAATATAAGAAACTGTCCAAATATAAATATAATTTTTATTCTCCATTACATAGATCACTTATTGTATTGACTAGTCAAAATATCACTATAGAATTAGTCAACCAATCAAATTATGAAATTTATAAAAAGGCAAAACCATAGGATTCAAGGGATTTAAAAAATATGTTGTAAAGCAAAGTAAGAGCTTTATATTTGTTTAACCATTTTCAATTTATAGAAAAGATAAGTCAAGTGAGCCTTCTAAAATTGTATTGTAAAATAATATAAAAAATTTTTTCATCAATTAAGTAACGATTTTGTGATATATTAATAGTTCAAAGAATTGATCTGATTTCTTTTTTTTTTTTGATTTGCAAATTTCACATTTTTTTGCAAACTGCAATAACTTATTATTATTACTCAATTTTTTTTAATTTAAATATTTTTTTTTAAATATATATTATTGCAGTTTGCATAGTTTTGTGACTCTTATGATTACTTTTTTTATGATTAAATAATTGTGATTGCGATCACAATTGTTAAAGCCAGTTAATTTATTATGAATCCGAACTTGACACTAACTCAGATTCATGATAAATTGGCTGGCTTTAGTAATTATGATTGCAATCACAATTATTTATTTATAAAAAAATTAATCATAGGGGTCACAAAATTATGTAAACCACAATAATTTAAAATATTTTTTAATTAAATTATGATTTGATTGTTTTTTTACTTAAATGGTAATTTTTTATAACTTAAGAGGTAGTCTGCAGTTGAAGGGTATAAATTTCATAGTAAAAATTGGCAGAAATTTACTAATTGCCTTATATAGAAATAGAATCTTATGTGATTCCATTCTTAAGAAAAAACCCTATAGTAAAAAATCAAAACATACTCATATCTCGTGATATATTTAACTAATTTTAATGATTTTACTTCTATTAGAATCAGAAAAATTGGTTCTACAACTTTTATTAGAAGCAAAAAAAGGTTACATACTAAAAAAAATACTTATATATATAAGCGAGCTAGATTTCTGTACTATAAAAAAAACATATGAATTTCTGTTTTTGTTTATTATAAAATCTGCAAATTTTTTACCCTTTAGAGGCGAACTACTCTTTAAATTTTTTTATTTATTTTATTATTGTTTTTAAATAAGTGGTAGTGTTGTAGCAAAACTAATATGTTAGAGAAGAGTGATGTTGGAAAAGAGGTATCAGAAAAGGGTATCAGGAAAAAGTAGTGTTTAGAAAAAAGATACCAGGGAAGAATAATGTTTGAAAAAATTTGATATTAAAGAAGGGTAATGTTGGAGAAAGGTGATTTCAGGGAAGGTGGTGTTGGGAAAGAATGAGTTTGGAAAAGGTGATATTGGGAAAGGTTTGTTATTAGAGAAGAGATTGTTATCAGGTAAGTAATAGTGTAGAAAATAGAGTAGTTATTAAAAATATTTGTCAATTAAATAGTTGCCAGATAGGCAGTTGTGTTGAGAAAAAGGTTGTCAGAGAGTTGAGGTGGAAATTGTATTAAGAGAATAATTGTTAGAAATGAATTAATACCAAATTATTATTAAATTTTTAATATTTCAAGTTTCAGAATTTTGGCATAGTTTCAGAATTTTGGTATAGTTTTGAAATTTTGATATAGTTTCAGAGTTTAGACAAGTTTTAGCTTGAAGGTCAATGCTCAAAACTAGTAATATCAGTTTTTGTTTCAGTTAACCCGAAACTATAAGGTTTCGGGCAGCATTATTAGTAAAGATACCTAACTAAAGCAACAATAAAGACACCAAAAACAATGATATATCAAAAGCCATGGTGACTCCAAATGCAACTACAACTTCAAAACAGCAATTTAACAGGTGATTCCAAAGCAATGAATCTAATAGAGATTAGAATGAATTAATAAAGCTGTAAAATAAAGGTAGAAAAAAAATATAAATTAAACTATAAAAAAATAAAATAAAATAAACTATAAAAAAAAATAATAAAAGTAAAAAAAAACAAAATCTGACTAATACAAATTGAAGTTAAAAAAAATTTTATATATTAAAAAATTTTGATTTTCAACACATCTGTTTATAGTATAGTTCTTTTATACAGTATTTGTTCTGTATCATGTTTAAGAGGAGTCTAATTTATATATTAGATTAAAATGCATATTATGAATATAATACTGAAGACAAAACAGACAAAATAGTAAAACATTATATTCAATTTAACAATTATGAGATTCACTTAATTCTTGTATCTAAAGTTTATTACCAAAAGCAAAAATAAAACAGCAAAATTTTTTAATTAATAAATATATATCATACTTTACTAGGACCCCAAAATATACATAGATAGGTTAGGTTTTAGTTTGCTTATTTTTAATCCTTTTTGTGCAGATTATTTTTATTTATAGTAATTAGTTTGCTTATTTTGACTTTTTTTCTGCAAATCTTTCTAAATTTAGTAATTTTTGTAAATCCTTACCTCTTCATATATATTTTGGGTCTTACTATACTGTATCAGAGCATGTTTCTATTTTTATTATTAATTTAAAGATTAATATAAAGATTATTTAAGTTTTATATTAAATAATTAATGTGACAGATTAAAATGAAATCAGATTAAAATGAAATTTTAATATTTTTTAGGAATGATTTAAAAAATTTTGGGAGACATTTTTTAGGATTAGGGTTAGAGTTAGGGTTTAGTATTAGATTTATTAAAAAAAGAGTATAAGTGGGTTTTATAAGCTTTAAAGAGAAGTAAGAAAGATCACCCGTTTCATTTTAATCTGATTTCATTTTAATCTGCAACAATTAATATTGACATGTTAATTATGTAAATTGGATATATTATTGAAAAGACTAATATACATATTAGTAATAAGCATATTAGCAAAAAACAAAGATTCTTTATAAATTTTAATATATAGTACAAATATCCATAATCAAAATATTAAATTCTAACTTTAAAGAGCTATTAGAATGATTTTATAATATAAACTTTCTCATCCTAATACTAACAATTATCTGGATATTTTAGTAATTTGAATTATTCAAATAATTCAGATAAAAATGAAGAAATGTTAGAAATACCAACATTCATAATCAAAATGCTAAATTCTAACTTTAAAGATCTGTTAGAATGATTTTATAATATGAACTTTCTCATCCTAATACTAATAATTATCTAGATATCTGAGTGATTTGAATTATCCAGATAATTCAGATAGGAATAAAGAAATGTTTAGTGTTTCTAAACAAATTAAAAATCCTGGTTGATCTGGAATTGATCCAAATCCGTAATTCGAATTAAATCCAGGAGTGATCCGTGCCAATCCGATAGTTTGTCACATATATTTGTTACAACTTAAGTGATTACTTCAAATATATCACATGACAAATTCAAATTCATCACTTATATTGTGATACAAGGTGTGATAAGTTCGAGTTTATCATAGAACAAATTCGAATTTATCATATAAAGTGATTATATAAAGATATGACCTAAAATTAGACCCAATCCCACTCAATCCAGGCCCAATCTGATGTTTTAGAAGCCAAACCTAATCTGACGGTTTGGATCTGCTGTTATACTTTAATTTTATTTATTTATTTTTTTAGTTTAGTATTATTATTTTTACATTATTTTAATATATTTCTTATTTGGGTTAGAATTATTGTGGCGTATTTGGAAATTGAAACCCCAAGTAAGAGATTGAAACCCCTAATGAGAAATTGAAACCTCAAGCGAGGGATAGAAACCCCAAGCGAGTGATTGAAACCTCAAATGAGAGATTAAAACCCCAGTAACAATAGAAGAATATAAATAGGTTGGGTTTTGGTTGAAAAAATGAGATAATTATTGCTCGCAGAAGTTTGTATTATTATTTGCAGATACACTCAGATGTAATTCTACCTTTTCAAGTTTATTTGTATTAAGTTCTTGAAAATAAAGATAATAAAGAGAAACCCTTTAACTTGCAATTAAAAAGCTAGTTTTATATTATAAATTAAACTACTGATTATTAATCGTCGATACATAATAAAAAACTTACACTAATTAAACACGTAACATATTTTGTTAACTTTATAATCTTATTAAATTATACTAATATTTGTTTATAATCAAAGCTAAACTGGCATCTTTGCTAAAAGCTCTCCCACTTGATTGTAACATTTGGTGCCGATTGTGTGGAACTAAAATGATATATATTCAAAAAACTCTAATTAAAATTGAATAATTTTTAAGTTAAAGATATACTTATTAAAAAAAGAAGAAACAAAAATTGAAATAACTTATCTTTCATAAATCATATGTTTGATATTGATATTGATGATCAGAATCCTAACCAAGAAGATCAAGAAAATAACTTTCAGTGACAAATTCAACAATTACTTCAGTTAATGGCTAGAGCCTTACCTTAAGCTATACAGAATAATCAAGTATGAGAAACAAATATTGTGACTATTCCTATGTTTTTAGGAGGAAACCAAGACCTAGTAGTGTAGTTAGAGGCTGTGGGTTATGTCTTTGAAGCTAATAATATTCAAGATGATCATTAAATAGCAGTTGTAGAAGCATATTTAACAAAAATGGCTACTATATAGTGGGAAACTAAAAGAAATGCTAGACCTTATATTATAGATTAGAATGATGATTTTCATCCAGATACAAGTTTCATTTATCAATTTGGTCAAAATTTTTGTACTCAAATGCTTATGAATCAATGGAGTACTGAATTACTTACTAAATGACAGAAAGTAGAAGAAACCATTAACTAGTATGCATCAGAAATAGTAGCTTTATTTAGACAGATTATGGTAGGGGGTAATCAGTATTCTGAAGCCATAAAGGCACAAATCTTCACACAAGGACTATGACCAGACTTGGCACTTGCGGTGGGCTTGTTTATGCCAAAGACTTTACAAGCAGCGATAGAGAGATCTAAAGTTAGTGAATTAACACTTTCAAGAAATATGACTATACAAAATCTGTTGCCTTTTACTAGTCCTATGGTCTCTTATATTTAACAGCAAATAAATGAAATAAATCAGATAATCTCAACTAATATAACTGAAGACCCTATAAAAAAATTAACTACATTACCGTACGGCACTGACTATAGTACTCGGCGTGACAAATAATGTAAATCAATTTTTTAAAATATTATTTATATATAGCATGTGATGTAAACAATTGTGTAATGCACGTGATTTTTAATTTTTTACTATGTAAAAAATCATGTCACACCGAGTACTATAGTCAGTGCTGTATAGTAATAGAGAAGCTAGTAGTATCAGTAAGAAATAATAATAATAGATCTAGGGAAACTTATAACAAAAATAGACAAGTAAACTGTTCTATGATCACGTGATTTACTTGTTGTCGACAAGGACATGTTTCTTGGGAATGTCTTAATATAAATTGAGAAGTGAGTCAACAACCAAACAATAATAATAGGCGAAGACCAGAAGAAAGATATATGAATGATAATAAAAATAGGCCTACTGTTGATGTGCAGCATGCCCAAGCAATGTTAGTACAAGTATTAAAAGAAGAATAGCCTTTAAACTAGAAAATATATCTCAAGAGGGTGAGAGTATATCTAAATTGAAAAACTCCTTAGTTGAATCTGTATTTGAAGTTTATGCTATGAAAAAAAGGAAAACAAATGATGGTGGAGTAGCTGAAATGGAAACCCTGAAATTAAATAAGGAAGAAACTGAAATTATGTACATAAACCGGCAAAAAAATTTATAGTGAAAAAAAGAAAAACCAAACCTGTTGAGCCTTTAATAATATTGAATATCCAACCTTATTTTGTAATGACCAATCTACAAAGTAAAAAAGCAGATATCACTTATGCTCAATTATTTCAAGTAGCTCTCAACATAAGAAAAGAAATTTCAAAAATA